GTCCAATGTTTCTGAGCAATCAAGACAGATAAGAACAAGAAATGTCTTTGGTCAACATAGAAACTGTTGTTGCTTTGATAAGAGCAGTTTTTGTAGTGACTGGGGGGAAAGTTAAATTAAATAGAAAACAGAATGGGAGATGGGAAAGAGATGATAATGTTCATTTTTTAGGTTTAGTCATATGACTTTGCTGAAATTGGCCTTTTTTTTCTCTTTTGGCAGTGCTAAAGATTGGACCCAGGGCCTCACATGTGCTCTACCACAATGCCAGCTACATTTTGATGTTCAAAACCAATAATTTCATGATTTTTTTTAAAGTTTGATGGACAAAGTTTGGAGCTGATGCAGTTTTTTAGAAAATTCAGAAGCATCAGGAGAACGAGTTAAAGAAATGAAAATTTCAAAAACAATGGGATATTATTTATATTCAATCAGATAAGGTTTTTATGTTATTTGGCTCATTTTTTAACAAATGCATCCTAAACATCATACATGAAACCATGAGAAAAACAGCAAATTCCAATATTGGGCATACCATAAAAATACTAGGCCAGTAGTTCTCAAAACTGTCTTAAGTCATTAAAAATGAGGAAAGTCTGAGGAACTTCCACAGTCAAAGGTACAAAAGGAGACATAACTATACAGAAAAGAGAATATTAGGTTCTAAAAATCTAAGACAATATAAATTATGAACTTTAGTAAAAAAACAGTGTTCAGTACTGGTTTATTAATTCCAACAAATGTACAATAATAATGCCAAATATTACTAATAGGGGAAACTGGATGCAGGGCACATGGCAATTCTCTGGATTATATTTTCAATTTTTTGTTACATATCTAAAACAACCATAAGAATATGGTAATACATACTTTAATAAGGTTTAATTAAGGAAATGGTAATCACCCATTTATTCAAAACCCAGCTTAATGGTCAAAACTGTTACAGCCTCCTTTTGTAGTTTTCTCCCTATAGACATGACCACTTTTCTAAACTTGATTTTCATTTCCTTGCATTTTTTATTACCCTAAGCAATATATAGTACTGTTGAAATTAAGTTGGCATACTATTTATTTCTACAGCTTCCTCTTTTGCCTCATCATATTTCAGAGTTCAGTCTTGTTTTACTAGCATATAACATTCCATCTTGTTAGCGATCCAGTGTATTCATTCTTTGATAGATGTTCCGCATTTCTTGCTTCTATCCACACTATAGTTACTACACTTTTGTCCACATATCAAAATTTCTATAAGTCATACACTTAGGAGTAGAATTCTAGGGTTTAGAATTGTAAAATCTTCAATTTTAACAGATTTTGCATAATTGCTTTCAGAGTGGTTCTAACCTACCAGCAGGTGCGTTCAGACGTGTAGAGAGGGGTAACAACTCTAGAAAAGACTTACTTATAAACCAGGTAGCTTTTTGTTTTTAAGTACTAGGATTGGACCCAGAGCCGGTTTACCACTAAGCTATATCCCCAGTTCTTTTTATTTCTTATTTTGATACAGGATCTCACTAAATTGCTGAGGTTGTCATCGGACTCACGATCTTCCTGCCTCAGCCTCCCCAGACGCTGGGATTACAGCCCTACGCCACCGCGCCCGGCCAGGTAATATTTTTGATTCACTCTAAAATGGGTTTGGGGTCCACGTAATCATTTCAGCAACAAACCAACATCAACTACTAGCACTTTAAAAGGTACTGACGCCGCTAACCTCGACACAGCCTATCCCGGGAGATTCTGACACACAGCTCCCTTCCGACGTAAGCGTGACGCAGCGACGGACGTCCACACGCTCGGGACGACGCGACTTGTTTGACGCCCTTGAAGGCCCCTTTCCGGGCTGCCTAACGCGACACAAGTGTCAGCTTGTGTTAACTGAATGCCTATTGTTTGCGTAAGGAGAAAATATTCCCACATAGTCTCCTTGTTCTCAGGGCCAATCCGCTTCCCTGGAAGAGCCTCTTTCGGCTGGCTTTTTCTTCAGGCAGCGCCGCGGGCAGCCCGCAGGCCCTTGTGTTGCGCGCGCAGCGACACCGCCTCCTTCTTTTCGGCCGGAACCGCCATCTTTCAGGTAAGGACTGCTCGTGGCTCCCGGGGCCCTGCGTTCCTTAGGCTCGAATTGCGACCCTGCGGCCTCAGATGACATGCACTGGGATACTAGAGAGTCTGTTTACCCAATCTGGGGTCCACTGTCCTGGGCGGTTGGGTCTGTGTCCTGCCAGACCCGGAGCAGCATGCGCTGTGTTAGGGCCTGGGCAGTGGGCTGAGGACCCGACCTGCGGTGCCGTGGCCCTGAGCTGCTACGGTTAGGAAGACGAAGCCGACTCACTGGGGACGAAGTGAGTTAATCTGCGGTTAATTTGACTAGGATTCAGCCTCTCATATCTCTGTGACTTCGGTCGCGGAGTCCTGGGCCCTCGTAGGCTGTGCGGGGCCGCGTGGCCTGATGCTTTTCTAACTCCTTTCAATGTAACGTGGACGGGTAGGCACTTCCGGGTCTTAAGAACGGGTTTAAAACAAGTCTTGGATTTAATCTCCAGTGAGCCTAAATGTCTGAATTTCTGGCTTCGTGGTTGGGTAACTAAGTGGCTGCCCGCCGAGTCAAATCTGGTTAATGAGTCTCAGATCACTCTTGGATTGTGCGTGAATTGATAGCCTGTTGCTTTTAGTTTTGGCTCGGGATTGCGAGTGGATGAAGGGAATATATGTTAAGGTTGCCTTACCAGTGCTCATATATCAAGAGGGGAAGATGTGTGTTGAGTGAAAGCATTCCACAACAGCAATATGTCCGATTTAGGAGTTTAGGGGTGAATTTTAATAATTATTTAACAAACTGCTGGCTTCACCCCACATAGCGATTCTAGTTGGCAAATTTGATACCATTGTAGGCTTCAGGCATCATTGGTTTGCATGGGTAAGGTATCGTTTTGGAAAACTGGTTCAGTTTTGTGTGTGTTAGGTCTAGGCATAAAATAGATGCCAGGAAAATGAGTTTAGAGGAGAAGAACTTACTGATTTTGACTGTGGCTCCACAGTCCTTTTATCTAGAGAGGTTCATCCCTAGTTTATGAACTTAATTCAAGTTTACAAGTTTATACAGATGTAGAGATTTGATTATTATAACAATTGCTTAGTTGCCTTTTTGTAAAAAATTAAAGTCTTCCTTTATAATTGGCCTTGTGGGTAGGGGTAATTGCCCTGGATGGCCCAGTGTTCAAAAATGTGTTTTGGCCCTTGAGGGAGCCCAGGAAAGGTTCAAATCTGAATGTTTATAGGTGAATTTTTAGATGGTAAATTAGCTTTCAGTTCAGTTATGCTGTACTTGTGCTAAGAATTGCTTAGTGCTCTGTAAACATTACTTCAATGAATTATAAAAGTGTTTTTAAAAAGAGGGAAGAGAAAAAGGATCTTATCTACTGTATAAAAATGCATGGTTGAGTTTTATTGGGTTCTCCAATAAATTATCCTTTAGATACTAATTTCCAATGCTCTTGGCATTGTTCTAGCATGGATTGTACAGATAAAGTGAGGTAGAAGTCCTGTTAATGTTTTTATAAACTGTTGGAAAAAAGTAGTGATCGTTCATCTGATTTATCTGACTAATTTTATGCTTTCTTCTTTTAGTAATTCGCCAAAATGACGAACACAAAGGGAAAGAGGAGAGGAACCCGATATATGTTCTCCAGGCCTTTTAGAAAACATGGTAAGTTTGTTTACTTGAAGCCAAGCTTGGCGTACATTTGGATTTTTATTAGTGTTTGTTGTGGTTCATAAATAGCATATTTTAAAAATCTGGCATATTTTGTAATAGATAAATAGAAAGTATGAATTTTATGTAGTTTCATAACTAAATATCTATGCAGGATTAAAACTTTGGGGAGAAGGTGTGTAGTAGACTGATTTTTTGCTTTCAGGAGAAATTTTCAAAAATATTATGATATTTTTATTTTAGACTTGTCTTGAGACTGACTACTGAAATTTTTTTGCAGGAGTTGTTCCTTTGGCCACATATATGCGAATCTACAAAAAGGGTGATATTGTAGACATCAAGGTAAATTATAAAATTGAGGAATAACACTATAGATGTTAGAAAAGTTGGAATTAATGGAGTGCTGGGTTTTAGGTACCAGTATTTATTACATCTATTGGATCCTTTTACTCTGAGTTTTATGGGAGGAAATCTGCTTGAGTTCATAAGAGTAAAGAACAGATTTTGTGGGGGGTGGGTATTGGGGATTGAACTCAGTGGCACTTAGTTGCTTAGTGTCTCGCTTTTTGCTGAGGCTGGCTTTGAACTTGGGATCCTCCTGAGCTGCTGGGATTACAGGCGGTTGGTACTGTGCCTGGCCAGACTGGTTTTTGTTGTTGTTGTTTTTTTAGTATTTAAGTATTTTGTAGTAGATGAACACAGTACCTTTATTTTTATGTGGTGCTGAGGGGATCGGATCGGACCCAGTGCCTCACATGTGCAAGGCAAGAAGAGCTCTACCAATTGAGCTATAACCCCAACCCTGGACTGAGTGTTTATATCAAAGTGAAAAGGAATGCCTTAGTATAAAATTTATTAAAATGGAGATTATTGTTTTTATGGAAACTCCAGTGAGAACTGTGTTCTTTTGTGATCAGTATTTAAATATGTCCTGGCTCTTGAGCTTAATGATGATTGTCTTTTTGATTGCTTGAAGCAATGTGAAAAACACATTTCACCGGCTCTGAAAGCTCAAGATGCCATTTAAAGGAAATTTTACGACATCTTATTTACTTCAATAAAAAATTAAAGTTTAAGAGTAAGGAGGAGTTGGCTGGAATAACATTTGTCTCCTTTCCTATCCAGGGAATGGGTACTGTTCAAAAAGGAATGCCCCACAAATGTTATCATGGCAAAACTGGGAGAGTCTACAATGTTACCCAGCATGCTGTTGGCATTGTTGTGAATAAGCAAGTTAAGTAAGTAATGAATGGTATAGTTCTTTGTGATTAAGTCATATTCATATACCCCCACCCCTTTCACTTTGCCAATTGGACTTAATGTCTTTATTGGTCATTCAAGAGGGGCAAAGGAAGTATCCTCTTAAAACTCAGGCAGACTGAGTGTCTGTCATGTAACCTGTCAGAGGAAACAAATTGAAATAGATTTCCTGGAAGGTCCTACACAATCTGGTATTAAAGCAGTTCTAGTTTTATAACATAAAAAGTTTATTAAGTTTTAAATTGTACTAGTGATTTGATTTTGGTTCAACTAGTGGTTCAGAGGCTGTCACCTCATCACAACAGCTGCAAAGTAGGGGTGGTTAGAGGAAAAAGAATACCAGTAAAGGAAGGAGAATAAGGTGAGGGAGGTGGGGTAGGAAATGAGCAGGCCACCTGGGACTGATTGGAGTAAATAAATTCAATACATACAATTTTAATGTACTGATAAAAGAAAACAAAAGGATTGTTTACTTCAAGGCCTCTTCCAAGTAGATCAATAATTGAAAAACTAATCAAGCCATCATAACCTTGTTGGTTTATTCGGAGTAAAAGATTCATGATTTATCTAATAAGTGGAATTGTCAAAACCATTTTCTGCATTGCTGTTGTGTTTTTGATGAAACACTTATGAGAATTTCTGCTCTCACCAGGGGCAAGATTCTTGCCAAGAGAATTAATGTGCGTATTGAGCATATTAAGCACTCTAAGAGCCGAGACAGCTTCCTGAAACGTGTGAAGGAAAATGATCAGAAAAAGAAGGAAGCCAAAGAGAAAGGTACCTGGGTTCAGCTGAAGCGCCAGGTGAGAGCTTGACTTGGCAGGGTTTATTGGTGTTAATCTTGGGGAACTATTAAAACTGTTGCTCAGATATTTTTTATTGGAGTTTAAGAATTGAATTATATTTAAAGTTTATTTCCTCTTTTCCCCTTCAATAGCCTGCCCCACCCAGAGAAGCACATTTTGTGAGAACAAATGGAAAGGAGCCTGAACTGCTGGAACCTATTCCCTATGAATTCATGGCATAATAAATGTAAAAATTAAATAAATAAAGGCTCGTGGACTACAAAAATGATTTTTTTTAATTGAGCAGAAGTGTATATTTAATTGTGTCCCAGTTTGTTTGTTTCTCTGCCGTTCAAATTTAGTATTTTTATTGCAGAATAATGTGAAGTGACTTGTGGTGCATCAAGTATATACTCAATTGGTTAAGAAATGGCCAAAGATTACTTATGAAATGTAGTTGCTTGGTCTCTAAGTTACCTTGAAGAAAGATACACAAAATAAGTGAAAGGAAAACTGTGTAATTACAGTTAAGGTTAGGAAAAGTTGATTGGTTATAATTATAAAGAGCTTGATTTTAAGGATTATGAATTTACCTTTGAAGCCAACTTCCTTTAAAAAATAGTACCCTGTTCTTTGGGTGTTACTAGTTCTGAATCACTTTGAACAATAGTGTAAAAACATTTGTCTTTCTCCTACTGTAACAAAATAATACAGACTTTACTAATTTTGTAAACAAATTTTTTCAGAGTTTTAGAGACTGGGAAGTCCAAGTGCAGATGCTGACAGGTTTTGTGTTTAAGGGCCTGGTCTGCACTTAAGTTTTCTTTTTTTTCCTCTTGGTCTGCACTTGAAGTTGGTTTCTTTTTGCTGTTATTCTCCTGGGGGGACAAGTCCAGAAGAGAAAAATTAGTAGCCAGTGGGGTTGGGCTAGTTAACTGGGTTTGTGTGTTTTTACTTCATTTAAAAAAATTAACAGCCTTAGTCTTCATCCTTGAAATATTAGTATTCCTGAATTGTTTTTTCTTGCCCCAGTCTGTTTTATTTCTAACTAGGTTTTCCACGTTTCTAGTTCTGCTAATGTAGTTTGTACTTAACTGTGTGTGTAGCTGCTTTTAATTTTATTCCATTATGATCTGATGGAATGCAGGGTATTATTTGCATTTGTAACTGCTTTTAAGTAGTGTTCTGTACATGCTTCCGGACTTGACCATCTTCCTTTTTGTAGCCTATTTAGCAAATGTTGTGGTTGGAGAAAAGAGCCTAATTGGTGGCCTGTAGTTTTCTCTCAGGATAGGAAATAGATACTGCTTTTGTCTAAGCAGACCTGGACTTGGATCTCTCTGAATGCTTAACATAATAGCTATTAACTATCCTCACTTTCTAGAGGGTTGCCTTTAAGTGGATGATTATTGTATTTGAAATTCGTTTTTCACCACCACTTCCAAAAGCAACAAAACTTGGATCAGCTGGAGTTCCTGTCTTATATTTTCTGATGGGTCCTACTTAGTGGGCTACTGTGCACCAAATTGAAGTCAGCTTAAATTTACATGTCCCCCACTTTGTATATTTTAAAATTGAATATCTTTCATACCTATTTATTTCTGGCCCTGTTCATCTAGTCATTCTTCCATCAGCTACCAAGTTCAGAAGTTACTGTTATATGCTGCAAATTACTTGACCTGTGTGACTTTGTTTTCTTTTTGTAAAAGGAATTATTAAAGGATTAGATGGGAATAATTTATAATGCACTTAACATGCTCTTACAATCAGTAACTGCCAGCTTTTTATTATCTGCATATTCATATTTTTCACTGCAACTGAGTAGAGAAATATAGTTTTTAAGGATACACATGATCCCCCCACCCCTTTTTATATATTCTTAGGATTGAGTACTATATGAAGTTGAAATTTTTATTTTATTTTTTTTAGCTAGCAATACTGGGGTGCTATACCGTGAACCTCATCCCCAGCTCTTTTTAGTTTTTATTTATATTCAGTGGGACACTTAAAGGGCTCATGACAGCTACCTTAATGATAGGTTTGAGAAGGGATTACCATGTTTTATTCATTAAAAAAAATGACTCAGGGAGTTCAGACATGTAGAAACCCTTACACTACCATACGTCTAATCCTTTGTAACAGTTCCTACTAAATTGTTTTCCTTTTAATTTCCAGTTATAATTTTTCTACTTTATGCCTTATCTCTTAAGAAAAACTTGGTTTTTCAAGTTCCTTTGCACATGTGCTTGCCTTTTCCTTGCTTCAATGATGAATTCCTGCTTGTTCAATATAGCTTAAGTGTTCTAGGGGTTAGCATCCCTGATGCAAGAAGAGAAATGAACAAAGTACTTGGGATCAGAGAAAGACTAGCTCTTAAATGCTCCCACAACATTATTCCCATGTTAGAGGTTTTGCTACTTATCTTCCCTTTGCCTTGGTTAAATTCTGTCATTCAACTTTGCATTCTTAGTTCCTAGCACATTGCGTATTCAATAAATGCTCTTTAAATTAGAGGAGTAATAGGAAACACTATTTAAAAATGAATAGGGAGAAAAAAAAGAAAAAGAAAAAAAAATAAAAATGAATAGGTATTTTAATTCTAGTTTCTGTGTGTTTAATTTTATTTTCATATGGATTTAAGAAAACAAGCGTTTCCTTAAATTTTGAGGTTCAGGTAAATACTTGCTTCATGAGTAATTGGGATTATTCAGTCACCTGTGTTATGTGGAAGCATCAGGAGACAAATTACTTTGTTCATTGCCCAGCGAATCATATTACTCTCACTTAGAGGTTCTTTATGTCCTTAAGGGCTATGATTCTGTTTTACCACAATCTCATGAAAAGAAGTATAATTGTGACTTTTCAAAAAGGAAATGAGGGCTGGGAGTGTCGCTCAGTTTCAACGCTTGGACCCTGGGTTCAATCCCTAGTACTACACAACAAAAAGGAAACGGAATATAATACCTCAGTTTAAGAGGACTGGTGAAGCTGGATGTGGAAGAAGGAAGGGTGACGGCTTAGAGAGCCACTATCGTTTGGGCACATATTCAGAAAATAAGAATGTGTTTATGTACAGCACCACTATTTTTTAAAACATCAGTGGAAATACTATGAATTTGTGTTTTTAGTGTTTTTGAATTAAACGCTTTCTCACAAGCACAGCACAAGATTTAAAAATATGTGTACCTTATAGGTTGTTGATTGGTTTTGATAAATTGATTTCATAAAGTGTTGTACAGAGTGCATTCAATCTTAAGTGCATGAAAATGCTTGTCTCAGCACTCTCATAAAGCATTGATTATTATAGACTTTGCTAATTTGGTTGGAGAAAATGTGACATTTCTTTATTACTGGGTTTGGCTTCAATTGGTTTCTTGAACACTTTCCTGGTTTCATTTTATCTACTCTTTGCAAGCTTTCTTAGGTCTTTCTGACCTCTCTCAATATTGAATGCTTTTATATTCTGGGTGATATTCAGCCTCATTGTTTGAACAATGATGCTGCCCTACAAAACACTCCATCTTCTGGCTGTGGCAGCCTCTTTGACTTGTGCAACATTCTGCCCCAAAGGATGATTCAATCACACTTAGCCTTCTTGCTGTGCCTTTGCTATGCCAAGCACATTTTTGCTTCAGAGGTTTTGTACTTGGATGTTTCCTCTGTAGGGAATGCTTCATAGGTCCCCATGGTTTCGTCCTAGTATTCAGCTTTTGCTCAGATTTTATCAAGTCTGTCTCTTTGTATCCTATATATTATTTTCTATCCCTTGTTATCCTTATAGTATTTACCATGACCCAATATATGTTTTGTTGGGAAGGGGGTCTGAGTTTTTATGAGATTATAGATACTTTTAGCACATTAGGGAATATTTACTGGTACTTACTCTACTGGGGAAGATGGGCAGAACAACAACAGCATAAAGCACCATTTTTTAAAAATGTATTTATTTACTGTAATTTGTTATAAATGACAGCAGAATGCATTTCAACTCATAGTACACATAGAGCACAGTTTTTCATGTCTGGTTGTTTACATAGAGTCATCATTCTTGTCTCTATACATGTACTTGGGGTAATAATGTCCATCTCATTCCACCATCTTTCCTATCCCCATGCCTCCTCCCTTCCCTCTTCCTCCACTTTGCCCTATCTAAAGTTCTTCCATTCTTCCCAAGCTCCCCCCCCAACCATCCCCATTATGAATCAACATCCACATTATCAGAGAAAACATTCAGCTTTTGGTTTTTTTAGGATTGGCTTACTCAGCATAATATTCTCCAACTCTATCCACTTAACTTGGAAGTGCCATGATTTTGTTCTTTTTTAATGCTGAGTAATAGTCCATTGTGTATATATACCACATTTTTCTTTA